CAAGGGATACCCAACCTTCCCTCTTTGCAAGAATTATTTATCAGAGGGTGCAGTGAAGAGTCGAATGGAAGATTAAGAGAAGGGAAGGAGGCTGTGGAGTACTGGCCTGACATCAAACACATTCCAAATATTAGAATTGATTTTTATTATATTCAAAAGGAGGGTCGCTATGTAAAGGACGAAAATTTGAGTTACTAATAGCACCACAAACTATGAGGTATTTGACCTCTTTTATTATTATTATTATTATCACTACTACTCTTTCATTCCATACTCTCTATACTTATTATTTGATGTAACCCAACCTTCTCTCTTACAGATGATGGATTCCCATTTTTAGAATTCCAAAGTACAGGTATATTGATCTCAGAGCTGGTTTAGTATGTGCTACTGATAAAACATGTTTAAATTTATTGAAGTTAGGAAAGCATTATAGTTTTCTAGTTTTCCAAAATCCTTTCTGCTGTATGCGTTTATCATTCTAGTTTTCTTTCCCAGTTCTCTGACCAGTTTGGTGTGGATATGCTGAGGGACTGCAAAGGAATAGTCCTTGAATGTCTGCAACAGTCTTCAAGCATGTGAGTTTTATTTACATTAAGATTTTTTAATTACCCCCACTAGTTTCCATCCCTTTCGAATGAGTTTGATCTGATAATACTGAACTATGTTTAGTTACAATCGCCTAGTGAGTTCTGTTTGATCTTGATTGCAGGAAATAAGTATGCGCATGGATGAACTTTGCAAAATGTCAAAACTTCCCGTGAAAAAGTCAAGTAATCCCCCCCCTTTCCCATCCTCTCTTTATTCATTTCCCTTGCTAAAGCATAGTGCTGTAATGAGGTCTTTAACATGTGAGAGCTTCTGATTATACAGTAAGCATGTTCAAGTTAATGAGTCACATGATAGAGTCGTTCATGATGTGAGGCAGATAGTTTTCTCTGTAAAGTATGGATGTGACAAGCTTCCAATGTGTATGAAGTTGCTCTTTTTCAGGGATTTCTTGTTTAAATAGCAAGTTTTCGGTGTCTCTGCCTCTTCCAGGTAATGGGATGCATTCTCTTCGGAGATTAAAAATCTGTTCTTTCCCAGAATTAAGGTCTCTATCTGAATCTCAGTCTATTATTTGGATGCAAAAATTTTCATCAATAAAATAAAATAAAACCTTTATTAATTCTTTAGTAGTAGAGAAATTATTTGATACCAAAATATTTTGCATGTACAAAGACAATTTATAGTTCTTGAATTGAAAATTTAGGATGCTCTGTTGCTTGCTGTCCTCTGTTTGGCTGCCGAGGAATAGTTAGATATTCAATAACGCAATGACCTGAGAAAGCTAAATTGCCTTAATTCGGGATTTTCAAACTGCCGTAATAGAAAGCAACGGAAATGCAAACCTTAACAATCTTTGCTGGGTGGATGAGAATTTGACACTACAAATGGAAACAATACAGTGAGCTTGCCGAGGATACGGAGACAATATACATCCTGTGGCTTCATAAGTTTGTTCTAAACAATATAGAAACAGACTAGAAAACTTCAATCGAGCCATTGCGAAGAAAGCAAAATCATTACTATATAGAAAAGAAGTATAGAGACAATATACAAGTGTGCTAATGACTGTATTCAACCATCTGTATTTGGTGCAGTTTCTTGTTTCTGCTGGCTACTGTATGAGATCAACAAGCTTTCAGGAGCGATACTTTCTAAAAGCAATTCTAACACAAGACGCCGCTGAGGGGATGTGTACTATATTGATATGTCATCCCAACTTCTATCAGTTTGTCATCTTAAGTCTGTGTGAGATATATCCTGATTTCATCAACTTCTCACCTGTAGGGTGCCAGGATATGTGATAGAACTTCTCTATGTGGTTTAGTAAAATTTGGTTCTGACATTTTCACTCCTGATTCTTCAACCCAAGTTTTATATTTGTTTCATAGCCGTCTTCTTTTACTTTTCTCAGTTTTACTATGGCAGACTTATAGCTGAAGTTCTCGACAGGACTCTGAAACTATTCAAGGATCTCTATATGTTTGCGAGTTTATGAAATTCAGAAATGAACATGTCTGTCTGACTAGTGGGTGGTTGTTCGGATTCATAGAGTTACGAAAACCTTACAGGTCAAATAACATGGAGAAGACGTTTTAGAAACAGACTACATCTTATTGCATTGCTTGGCCTTGGTTGTTGTGGAAGGTTAAAAGGCCGGAAAAGATGAATTGTCAATGGATCACGAAATCACCTTGGTTTCCCCTTATGCAATTCCAACTTTCGTATACAATTCAATAGTAGATAGCCTACCCGAAACAAAATTTTGTAGCGGCTGTCATATATTCAGGTACCGGGCTAACCATCTCTCTATTTCAGTGTGTGAATTAATAGTGTAGAATAATATTGTTGCAAATTGTACTGACACTCCGATTTTGAATTTTTCTGATAAGAAAACAGAAGACAAAAAAGAATATGCACCTCCGGGCACACTTACAAGCCTGCGGGGTTCATATCAATCAAAGCTTCAAAAGATGAAGCTAGCTTATTAAAAAACCAAAGAAGACTTGATTATCAAGAAATCAACAACCGGGTGGGTTGAATGTTCCTATAATTTTGGGCTTGACATTAGCACAGTCGGATTTTGCAGGGCCTTGGGTTCCACTATAGGTGAGGTCAATGTCAGCAAGCTCAACCTTCTCGCAAGGGATGCCAGGGCTACATAAAAGCTGCACAGCAATTGGAGTGGCGGAAGTGCCCCTTATTTTCTTGAAACTAACATCGCTTATCTTTACTTTTGATGCAGCCTGTAAAGAAAATATCAAAATCACAAAAAACTTTCAGTACTCTCCACTTCAAATAGCAACATAATTGTGTGTGGGTGTATTGTACCGATATTGCACAAATTAAACATATATTTTTTTCTCCCTTTTAATTTCTGGTTTGAGAGTACCTTTTTAGTGCACTGATTCCATGGGCAGTACATCTGATCTATGAGAATGGGGTTCGAGACATTGTTCATGATAATATCTTCAAAATGCATAGTTGATGCAGAGCCACCTTGTAATCCAGGCCAAGATTTAATTCTCACACCATTTGAAGTATTGGAGAGGGTGCAGTTCTTAACAAACACTCCAGAAACGGGTTCTTCGTTTTCGTACTTCCCCAAACTTCCCACGCTAATACCATGACCAGGTCCACAGGTTACTCTTTCGACATTTATTTGTTGGCTGCCATCTCCCAGAGAGATACAATCATCACCGGTGGCGATTTTGGAATCGATGATGTTGACCCCATTTGATCGTCCGATGTGGATTCCATCCGTGTTTAAACTATCACCAGGCGCACTGATGGTAAGACGTTGAAAGGTCAGGTTCTTGCATCCCAAGACATTGACATGAAAACTCTTGCTATCTAGGGAGGTTATATCTTGGACTATTCCATTGGTGATGAAATTGAACCTGAAATTCTGATCAATATTTGAAGCAAACAAGAACACACACGAATCAAACTTTGTCACTCAATTAACTACAAGTAGCATTCATAAAAGTAATAACTTGAGAGAAAAGAAAAAATTTCTCTTCACAAGATGGTGAGGGATTTACCATGGGGAACATGCCACATTTTGGATTCTTGTAACAATTATTTTTTTTCCATGCAATTTTTCCTTGGCCATCGAAAATTCCACCACCAGACAATGTAAAGTGGTCGATACGTTGGAAAGTAACCCAACCGTCTCCTTTGAGTTCACCAGGTTCCACCGGAGACTTCAATGTGCCTTCAACTCTTAGCTCAATCGGAGCCTTGCAAGGACCTAACAGACTCACTAGGCCTAAAGCATGAATTCCTTTGGGAATCAAAACTTTGCTGGGGCTTGTTGATGCACAAGCTTCTTTCCAGGCACTTGTTAAAGCCTAAAGTGCCAAAAGAAAAAAAAATGCAAATTTTAAACCCAAAAAAAGAAACTATATATATATATATATATATATATATATATATATATATGGATGTTTAGTCTGCAATTTGCAATAACAAAGTGACGGGTTGATCTTGAGTTCAAGTTCTACATGCGCATATACGCACATACGTACACACACGTATGCAACACATACCTGCTGGATATCTCCGGCGCCGCCACCATATTTGGTGACATCAAATGTACCACCAGCCTGGGTTTTAACAGTAGATGCCAACAACAATAGCGAGATGAGAACCAAGATAATGGTTCTCGAGTCCATTTTCTGCTAGAATTCTTCTTTTCTTTTGGCTATATTTGGTATGGAAAATGAACTTATGCTTGATCTTCCTCTATGTGAATCATTTTATAGGCAGTGGATGGAGCTCAAAATAACTATACATTGAATCAGTCAAGCAATTAATCGACTAATTTTATCAAAGGTATGGGAGAGTTTCAGAATTTTATGGTTCAAACTCACTCCTTTTATTAGATAGCTTTCCTTAATTTGTGAGCGTCCTTCAAAAATTTTAAGTAAAAAATCTTTATTACATTAATCAATCTAGGGAAATTTAATTAATAGGATGTTGTTTGTCTACAAGTAATAAGTAAAGTTGTGGTAATAAAGAGGAAGTTTTGGGTAATACCTACTGTGTTTTGTCGTCAAAAAATTGATTACCTCCTATTGATGAGTTAATAAAAAATTATTTTTTGGAATCTTATCTAATAACTTAAGTTTTAGAATTGATAATATGATTGTTTGATAAGATATTATTATAGTCTTCCTAAGTAAATGATTAATAGCCAAATCTCATAACTTTTATTTTTTATAATTAAATAAAAAATTTAAATACATGATTTGACAATTTAAATTGTTTTGCATAATATAAGTGAAATTGATAATCAGTAACATATTGATATAACCTTATTTGACAATTTTCTACTAATTAATCAGTCTATCATGCTCACACTCGGTTGCTCATCTGACATGAATTATAGCATGTCGCTGTTTGGTGATGGAAAAAATAGACTTGATAATCGAAACATATCATCATCCATGATCAACTGTAACAGTACAGGTAGAGATTATGCATATGTTATGGGTTCTCCCTTTCGTAAGAAAAACAGGAAATTTAGTGGTTATCCATGTGCCTCGGGGTTCGCTTTCTATCCTGAAACAAAAGACTACAAATTGTTTATGGTATTTGGCAGATCATTCCTCAAAGCTGAAGTGTTCCCATTGAGGACAGGTGCTTGGAAACAATTTAACCTGGTAAATCCTTTCGGTGAATGTTTTCTTAGTCCTGACAGTTCAGTGGTTGCGAAGGGAATATGGTATCATGTAGCATTTACAAAGGCGATCAAGGATGAAACCATGTCAAAGAATCAAATTAAAAGTGCTGTCTATTCTAAAGTTTGACATTGTCAGTGAGGCATTCTCAAAGATCGAAGTTGGCCGACCTTATGATGATATCCGTAAGAAAAAAACAAGCCTTATGGTGTACAAAGAAGGACTTACTATGAGTGTATATAATGGGACAAAGCATCAACCTGAAAGCTTGATATATATGGAAAATGAAGAACGAGTGTTGGACAAAGATATTGATCAGTAAACCGCTTCCCAAAACTTTAACTACTCTGGGATATGGGCCGGCATGATGACAAAGTTACATTAAGGCCTTTGGCATTTGGAATGATATAGAAATTATACTGCTTGAATATTCTTGGTCGTTTGATCATTGCCAGTTGCATTCTTGACCAAAAAATTAAATATGCTTATAAGATACCAACTGCAAGAATTCCATCAAGTTTATACTTATGTGGAGAGCCTCGTTTCGGTCTACGGTACCAGTGGTATTCAAGCTGCAGATGATGATGGAAGTGAGACGAAAACAGAAGTCATCTGATGGGAAAGAGAATCGTTGAAGAACACAAGTTGGCAATGGTCAGCAGGGTGAGGAGCATCAACTTTTCTATAATTAAGAAAACAAGAACATCAGAAAATTTTCGTCATGTCCTTTTCTCTTTTTTGAAGTTCAAAGCGAATATTTAAAGAAGTTTATATTGATTCTATGCATAAGGTACTACTGGTTTATGATCAGTTACTAGAGGGGCATATTGACATTATTTTTAAAGAGCATCAATGAGGAATGGAGACGTCAATATTCTTGAGCGTTTTCTTTTGTTTCAATTTGACACGTATATTTTCGTCTCTTTTTTTCTGTCAGGTTACTCTGGACGTGAAAGGAGAACCTCAAATCTTGAATTTGTCTAAGAAGCTCAAAGTTGGAGGTATTATTGCTCATAAACTCTGGATCGAACAACCTGAAAATATTCCAACTTGTCTCCAAGCAGAGAAGATTAACTCAGAACTGGTACTATTTTTTCTTGAAGAATTTGGAATGATAATGAAATTATATCATATGCCAATAATTCAAGGAGTCTCATTATGAACAGTTGCATTTGTATGATCCCTGGAACCGAAAATAGAATAGGCTTTGGAAAAATAAAACTCTTTTATTTTTTAACTTTTCTAATTATGTGGAGACTTTATAGTTTTAAATAATTACCGTTACCTTATATAACGGTTGTTACATAATGATTTCGAAATATCCCGATATCATTATTTTAGAGTTGTATTAAGCTTCGATCCACAATGACAACCACCATCATCTTTTCAACATTTATAATTTAAAACTATGGTGGAGAGTCTAGTTTCGATCTATACTAGTACTGGATATCCTCATATTCATTGATATTAATTACAAACTTAAGATATATTTAAAGATAAAATTAATTTAATTAGAAATATAAATACATATTAAATAATTATCTCATTATATAACGATATATTAAGCTATTAACCTATAATTTTTTTAATATGATTTTTTTTTTGAATTAGTTAACTATTTATTTCAAATATTTAATTTAAATGATAAGTGAAATTGTTTTCTATATTCTTGTTTTAAATTTCACCATAAGAGGATCTACAACCCATATAAATCTAAGATCCAATTAGGAAAAACTTAATCTGAATCCCTGAACACCAATGTTATACGAGTTTGTGTAAAAAAAAAAAAAACAAAAATAAAGAAATTGAATAAAATGAAATCCAAATTGTTTGGTCCTAGTGGGCTTTAATCATAACATGGGCCTATAATGGAGTTTCCCTAGCCAGATGTAATATCGACGACGAAGCAGCACAGCAATTTGGTACTACCTTCTGCCACCCAATGGTCCCTCTTCTTTCACCATGTCGATTCGCTCCCTCTCTTCCTCTCTACACTCCTTCAAGAACCAAAATTTGGGTTAGCGACCTCTCTTTCCCCTTCTGTATCACAACTCGGTCACTCACTCAACTGGGGTCCAGCTCAATGAGTCAACCACCACAGAGTCAGAACCCAATTCACAAAACGAAGAGAAGAAAGCGGGGAATTCAGATGACGTGCTGGTGCAGTATGTGGTGTTAAGGAGAGACTTAATAGACACATGGCCGATGGGGAGCGTAGTGACACAGGGATGCCATGCCTCTGTTCTTGCTATTTGGTCACATAAGGAGGATCCTGGTACTCTTCAGTATTGTAGCTCTGAAAATATTGATTCTATGAATGAGGTAATTTCTTTTGATTTTTCATAAACTTTTCCCATTGGAAATGACAGAAAAGTTGAATCCCATGATGGTTTGTTAGTAAAATTTATGAGTATTATTTAATCTTGGGCAAAGAAATCGGATTTTTTGGTGACTACATTGAAAGGGTAAATTTGATGATGCATTGTTTGATCTTAGGAATAGATTTTGAGATTTTATTTTGATGACATGAACTAGTTAGATGTGTTTTTTATGACTTAAGCTAGTGAAATATACAGCAGCAAGGGTGAAACGTTTTTGTTGATTCTTGCATTAAGCATTTGATGTTATTGTCACATGTCCTGGTTTGCATCGACAAGGCTTATGTCTCAGGTCGGTTGCGCCTGCTAATAACCTCCATTGCATTTGGGACTCAGTACCTGAATATGCCTATTAGATGGATATGTATGGCTTGATTTGTTTTGCCCTTGTGCTGGACTCACCTACATGAAAGTAAGGAGGGCAAATTAGCATGGGTTGGAGGTTTTTGCTGCATCAGTTACTAGAGGGGCATATTGACACAATGTTACATCAATGAGAAATGGAGACGTCAATCACGAGCGTTTTCTTTGTTTATTTCAATTTGACATGTGCATTTCTGAGGGTTATCAATAATGGACTTAGGTTGTCTCTTTTTCAATATCAGGTTACTCTGGAGGTGAAAGGAGAACCTCAAATCTTGATCTTATATGAGGAGCTCAAAGCTGGAGGTATTGCTCATAAACTCTGGATCGAACAACCTGAAAATATTCTAACTTGTCTTGCTACGAAGCCTTATCCTAAATCTGTCGTACCGCTGTTCTTTAAAAGGTTGAAACTTTGCAAGCAATGTATTTTCAATTTTGGATATTGCTGATCCATTAGCAATTTAATATATTATTTTTCCTTCTGCTCCTTGACAATTATGACTCTGTCAGAGGGATTTCATTTATGTTATTTAAGTTTGAATCCATGTGTTACTCTTGCCAGGAAAAATTAGTTGGAAAGGTGTGAAGGGTCTGTGATATGTTATGGTTGGGGATTTGGGATGGTGCATTTTTCTGGATTTGCTCGGATAAGTGATGGTTGGACTTGACTCTCTGGCCGATGATCCTGTTCGACCTTCTATGCACAGGTATCTTTGCTTGATCCACACTATTGGCCATCGAGTAAAGTCGAACCATTGGTTGTCCAAGGCAGTCCGGAAACAGCGCATAAAATGTTGTTTTGCAAGCTGATCATAGTCCCTGCAGTTCAAACTCAGGAGCTTCAAAAAATTATTGAAAGAAAATTTCAATGACTATAATTAGAATTCTCTTACGTCTTCGAGCAGAGGATATTGATTTGTGCATCCCCTTCCAAGAACTGGTACTATTTATCCAGCAGGAATTTGGAACGATAAATACTTCATCATATGCTAACAATTCAGGGAGTCTCGTTATGGAAAGTTGCATTTGTATGATCCCTTGACCCAAAAATCGAAAACGCTTTGGACAAATAAAACTCTTTTATACTTTGACTCTCCTAATTATGTGGAGAACCTAGTTCTGGTCTATGGTAGTACTGGACATCCAGGTACAGGTGATGATGAGAGCAGGACGAGACTTCTATCTGATGGGAACAAGAAGTGAGGAAGAACACAAGTTGGGGTGGAGTAAAGTTTGATATTGCAATTGTATGTTTGAAGTTATTGTTGGTGCAATGCTGGGGAGAGGAATGTGGATGAGTAAACCCTTTTTCGATGTCAGGTTACTCTCACTATATTGAGATCATGAATGCGGACAGGAATGGCAAAGGGAAGGTATCCAACCCATTAATTTAATTTTTATCTTGTTCTCATAATATACTTGCATGCATTAATTTATTTTTTATGCAAGCATAAAATATTAATTCTTATCTTAATTAAATATTCATATATTAAATAATAAATAAACTATTCATACAACATATTTATATTAAGGAGGTTTTTAAGTTGAGGATATTACAATTTTGATTATGTTACTTGTGTTCTTAATAATAGAAGGTGCCTTTATGTTTAGAAATTGGTTTTCAGAATCGAAGCTTCCTATATATTTAATTAAGTGACAATTTTTGAGTAATTAATTAGTACTTGAGACGCTTCAGTGAATTTTATGCCAATCTTTGTGTAATTCCACATCAAGTGCATATAATTTTTCATGCAAGGAAGCTTAATAATAGAACACATGCTGGTGATAGTCAATTAAGAAATTTATTCTAAGAATGTAGTTGATATTTCACCCATAACATGCTAATATCAAATATTATCAACTTTAATACTGTATGTGAATAGCTGAAGTATTTTAACTTTATCCGGCCTTGATATTTTAGGGGATTCTGTTGTTTTTATATTTCTCTTCTCAACGTTTTTTTCTACAGTATTTTTAGCCATAATTATAGCAATGCTCAAATACTTTCTGAATTGGACTCTACAAGTCATGCCTGGTTTATTTAAGACCAAAGATAGTCTGAAAAGAAAAAAAAAAAAACTAGAGTATTAACAAAAGCCTAACGACACACAATGGCAGCTGAAAATTTTCCACCTTGAATCGCTCCTTCCCCAAAACATAAAAAAGATCAAACCAAGCAGACTAGATCAGAAAACATGGCTGTCGGCTCTTGTCTACCTGAAGACATGGTTAGAGAAATTATGTTAAAATTATCGGTGCAATCCTTGCTTCGATTCAAGGCTGCATGTAAACACTGGCTGGCTCTGATTACAAGCTCCAACTTTATTCACAACCACTGCCAACATCGCCCAAAACACTCTGTCATGCTCACATCCCCTAGCTCTCAAGAAAGTCGTGGCATATCACTGCTTCCAGCTGATACAACATGTGAACTTGTCCATCAAAAATTACCATCGTCCATAGTAAATAGCAATACCAAATATTATGCCATCGTGGGTTCTAGTAATGGCTTGCTTTGTGTTTCTATCATACATCCAAAAAGTGTTCGTTGTTTTCTGTGGAATCTAGCAATAAGAGAAAATCGGCTCCTGCCCTTTCCCCCCAAATTAGGTAATTACACTTGTTCTTTTGCTTCCGGGTTTGGTTTTGTTACTGAATTAAATGATTACAAGTTACTGACACTTATAGTTGATTATGCATGAACTGAGGACCATCTCAATCTCAGAGCTGTGGTTTACACACTGAGCACAGATTCATGGAAAGAAGTTGAGGGAATTGCTTACGGTCGAACTTGTTATGGTCATGGTTTTCCAGTGGTGGTTCAGGGAATGTGTTATGATTTGATGTTTCGAGATGAGAAGGATATTCAAGGCACAATAAAGAAATCTCGAAAGGTACCATCTATACTCACATTTGATTTGTGCAACGATGTCTTCTCGAAGATGGAAAATGGTCTACCTTATGATGGTATTTGTGACAAAAGTATATATCTTATGGAGTACAAAGAATTACTTGCTATGGGTGTATGTAGGAATGGAGAATCAACATTCGAGTTTGAGATATGGACATTAACGAAGAATCAGTACTGTTGGACAAAACTATTCATATGTAGACCTGTTCCGAAAACTAGGAATATATTACCTTTGGGATTTCGGAATGATAAAGAAATCATAATAAGTGATTATTTTTCGGAGTCATGTCATGACCGGTTGCAATTGTATGATCCCTTGACCCAACAATCAAATATGCTTTCGACAAGTAAAGATGCTGTATACTTTGAAGCTCATAATTATGCGGAAAGCCTAGTTTCAGTCTATGGTGTTGGACAATGATCAAATTGTACCTGAGCAAGAACGAGTTTCCTGGGAACAAGAGAGACTTGGGAATGGCTTCGTATAGATTATAACTTGTGTAAGGTTTCCTTTTGATTTATTTCTATCCACTTACAACTTCACAAGATTTAATTTTTATGTCCTTTATTTCTCTTTCTCTGTTTTTTTTTTTTTTTAATATCTGTTCAGCAAATCTTATTTAAGCTTTCTATTGTTCGTTTCAAATTTGTGAATTAGATTTTCCTTTACAGTAGTTTGAATGATTTTCCATTTTTTGAAAGCCATATATACACACAGGTGAGTGCTTTTCTAATCTCAGTTGTCATGTAAATTGGTATGATGATACTCTTTACAATCGAAAAAATGATAGAAAAGAATCAAAGATTGCTATTTAAGTAACAATCTTTTAGTAATTAGTACTAGAAGCTTCAGACAATTTTATCCCAAAGCTTTGAGTAATTCCACATCAAGTGGAAATACTTTTTCCTGCAAGCTCTAAACTGTAAATTAATGTCTGATCAGCTTTAATAATATTTTGTTCTGGGATGTTGGACATAGCTGTTAATTTCGTGACTTCTTTCACATCAATTAGCTTGATTGTCTCTTCATACGATGTTTCTTGTTTCTTATTGAAAACTTTAAACTTAAGATTCACATAATCCTTCAGATAGGACCTTGTGGCGATATGGATTAGATATGAAAGTTTGTAGTCAAACTCAGAAGTAAATTTTGTCAATTTTTTGTTCGAAGAACTATTCAAAATTTGCTAATTTATGTCAATTTTCTTGTTTAATGTAGGATAGGTTTCCTAACAATTCTAAAGGCTCACCTAACAGACTTAAAACTTTGAGTTGAAATGATTCTTTCACAATAAGAAACTATGGACTTGAATGCTGCTAATTTTAATATACGTTATGGCCTTGCAAACTTTTTATACAATACATTAAATGCAAATATAAGATTAATTTTCTAATCAATGACTTCACATACAATTTTAACTATAGTTGCTTGAGGTTAATCATATTGAGCAGCAGCCCCAAAGATGTTAGCTAATAAACAATAATTCAAAGCATTATAATAGACTCTTTTGACTGATCTCATGTCCTTCTGTTGGTATTTGAGATGGAGGCACTTCCTAATTCTATCACCAATCTAATAAATTTGCAAGTGTTCAAGCTTAATGGGTGTTACAACCTTGAAGAACTGCCAAGAGATATTAATAAGCTGATTAATCTTAGGCATCTTGATGTGGGTTGCTCTCTTGATAGAGGTTTATGTGAAAGTTTGGAGTATATCCCTAGTGGGATTGGGAAATTAACTTCTCTTCAGACATTGTCATGTTTTGTGGTTGCAAAAAAAGGTCCTGAATCAAAGATGGTTGGTGGATTGGATGAGTTGGGTAGATTAAATGAATTGAGAGGAAGCCTAGAAATAAGAGTTAGGGGATATGCGAGGAGTTCTTGTATATTAGAATTTGAGGGAGCTAAATTGATAGAGAAACAATATCTTCAGTCGTTGACCATAGTGTGGAATAGTGATTTAGACATTGATATTGATTTGTGTGATAAAATGTTGGAAAGCCTTCAGCCACACTCGAATCTACAACATTTGATGGTTAGAAATTATGGAGGTATGAGGTTGTCAAGTTGGCTTTCATATCACACAAATCTTGTTAAGATTCATCTAAAAGGCTCTGGAAGACTTAAGCATATCCCTCCCTTAGATGGAGTTCCTTCTCTTGAAGAATTGCATATTGAAGCATTATCTAATCTGGAGTACATAGATAGTGAGGGGGTTGGAGGAAGAGTAGTGTCGGTGTTTTTCCCATCCTTAAAGAAACTCACGATTGAGTCAGGTGAAAGGCTGAAGGGATGGTGGAAGAAGAGTGATAGAGATGAGTCAACAACCACAGCAGAAGAAGAGTTGATGATGCTCTCTTTTCCACGTCTTTCTTCCTTGAGAATAGACAATTGTCCTAAACTGTCTTCAATGCCATTGTTTCCAACTCTAGATGATGAGCTATATTTGTGGTCGACCAGCTCAGTGCCATTACAGCAGACAATGAAGATGAGAGGTTGGAAATCAACATCATCAGTCTCTTCTTCTTCATTTACCCATCCTCTCCAAATTGAAGGAACTCAGAATTGGTGATATTGAGGATATGGATTATCTTTCCAGAAAATGTGCTGCAAAATCACTCTTCTCTTCAACGGTTACATATTGGGCATTGCCGAAGATTGAAGGCTCTGCATCTACCTGATCAGGGGATGCATTCTCTTCAGAGATTATGGATCATTGGATGCAGAGAATTAAGGTCTCTATCTGAATCTGAATCCCAAGGGATACCCTACCTTCCCTCCTTGGAACAATTAATTATCAATGAGTGTGGTGAAGAGTTGAGTGGAAGATTAAGAGAAGGGAAGGAGGCTGTGGAGTACTGGCCTAACATCAAACACATTCCAAATATTAAAATTGATACATATTACATTCAAAACGACGGTCGCTATGTAAAGGGGGAAAATTTGAGATGGTAAAAGCACCAGAGAGAATTTGAGGTAATTAATTTTGTTTTATTATTATTATTATTTATATTTGATTCCATACTCTCTCGTCTCTATTTATTTATTCCTTTAAAATCATACTTATTATATTTTTGAAATTAGTTAAAAGCGCCAGATGGGAACTTCGATGGGCTCGAGGAAGAGTGAAAATGGGAATGTTGTAAACAGAGAGTGATTTTTGTGGTAAATTACGTGACCCCATACTGAGGAAGCTCACAGCGGCATCCAGCTAAGCAAACGGCGGAGGATGGTGGCGACGTTGGGACGATACCCTGAATATTCCCAAAAGTAGAAACGCACTTCTTGATTCAGCTTGCCGATTGCACTTCTAAGGTAAAACCCCCTCTCTCTATCTCTCTCTCTTATTTATTTTATTTTATTTTTTTAAAGAATACGAGGTATTTGAGCTATTCCTTAATTTTATTCAATTTTATTATTATTATTATTTGATTCCGCACTCTCTTCATTTATGTGCTACAAAATCTCTGCATCTAGCTACGGAAATTGAGTTACTCTATTTTTCTTATTGATAAATTGAGTTACTGTATATTTGATTATTACAACGGAGGTTCTTAAATTGAATCTCTTACTTAATTTTGTTTCCTTAAAATCATATCATTCTTATCATATGTATATATATATATTTTAAATTATTTTGCAGTAATTAATTTCCATCGGTTTTGCCGATTGCACTTCTTAATTCAGCTTGCCCATTGCACTTCTAAGGTAAAATCCCTTTTATTTCTCATCCCTCTGCTTCAATTTGCTCTTTTTTCCTTTTTTGAGAATTATCTCTCTACCAGATTGGTACTTGCCGAGAAAGTATAGAAAAATTAACTCAAGTCTAGTGCAATAATTTAATGTTCCGCTAACTAAACAAGTTTAAGGCTTCTCTTTTTCTTTTTCTTTTTCTTTTTTTTGATAATTAACTCAAGTCATGTTCCCTCTAGCTACTTGATTGGTTGCCCAGAAAATGTAGGAAAATCAAACAAATCAACTGAGAAGAGAAATGTAAAACATGACTTTTTTGTTGTTTTATTTTTTATATTTGTTGTGAAGAAATGGTAAAATCTAAACTTGTTGATTATACAATAGGGACGAAATGCATGTTCTTCTTGATGGGCACTCTAACAGTCTTCTTTTCATTCGCACGGTGTTTGATGAAGCAGAAAATTTTCTTACTGAAAGAAGTTTCTTTGACAAGATCCCTTCCGTTTGATGCTTGCACAAACTTGATACTGTGGTGTGGATATGCGTACTTTTACAAGAACCCATCACTTTGATTACGTGTCAGTCATTTCTGTGTGCAAGTTTCAGAGCATTTTGTGATACTTTCAATTAGATTAGATTAATTTTTATAGATTACTTACATTCCTGTTTGCAGAATTCCAAAATACAGCTATTGATCTTAGAGCTGATTATGTATTTGGTACCCATAAAACATTTACTGAAGTGCATATTTGTGTTCTGACGTTGATTGATGTGTGAACTTTCTTCAACTGAAGGTTGATAGTGATGCTTCGATTCTGCCTCAGATGGTATGTAGAAGCTTCTGTGAACACTCCGCTGCCTCAGATGCTTCGATACCGCAAATCCACATCAAACAAAGTATGAGAATTCATCAAGTATAGTTCTTCTCAATGGCCTTCTTGTTGCTTGTGTTTCACATTCTAGTTTTCTTTCCGCTGAGAATATCAAGTAATCAATTAGATTCTTGACGATGAAGGAGGTCAGATATGCACTGCAAGAGATGAATTTCAACATAAAGCAACCTGAAGAAGTTCACATTCTGCTGGAATGTTCCTGAGCTGTGATTTATTCCGTTGCTCATTAGATGACTAATGCAGTTGGTTCAGTTTATTTTTCTGATTCGAGTTTTTACAGAACAGACTGTAAATATCAATGATCTAAAGCTTTTACATTGTTGAACTGCAAGGATCTGTACTTTTTTTGCTTCTACATTCTGATATGATCTCTGAGAATGTTAACGCAAACCATCTATTCATGATTTGTTCCTCATTTTCTGTAAGTAAATCAATAAAACAAGCAACATCGATGGTATGGATTTCATCTCCAACTGTGCTTCTGTTTCCCCCTATTGGTTGTCTTTCAGTAAGTGCACATCAATTTTAGTGGGTTTTTTTTTTTTTTTTTTTTTTTTTTTTTTTTGATTTTTGAAAATGAGAATAATAACAACTTTCGTATACAATTCAATAGTCGATAGCCTACCCGAAACAAAATTTTGTAGGAGCTGTCATTTATTCATGTACCGGGCTTACCATTTCTCTATTTCAGTGTGTGAAAATAATATTGCTGCAAATTGTACTGACACTCCGATTTTGAACGAAGAAGTATTTTTCTGATAATAAAACAGAAGACAAACAAGAATAAGCACCTCCGGGCACACTTACAAGCCTGCGGGGTTCATATCAATCAAAG